AGAGAGAGAGAAGGTTGAAGGAGAAGCCTCTAGAGAGAGAGAGAGGGACAAATTGATAGTTTAATATCCTCCTTAATTTGTCACTCTCTTTTTTTCTATGAGTTTTATAAATTTATCTGTTGAAAGCGACTTTGTAAAAATATTTGCAAGTTGATCATTTGTGCTGATGAACTTGAGCTCGATCTCCCCTTTTTCTACCAAGTCTCTAATGAAATGGTGACGAAGCTCTATATGCTTTGTCCTGCTATGAAATTCTGAATTATTCGTCATAGCAATAGCTGACACGTTATCACAATAAATTGTTGTTGGATCCTTTTGCTCATGATGCAAATCATATAGAATTTTTCTCAACCAAACTACTTCGCACAAAGTGCTAGTGGCTGAAATATATTCCGTTTTGTGCAGATGATAGGGCAACTATTTTTTGCTTCCTTGATGACCAAGATATAACTTTTGATCCCAAGCATAGTACATATCTTGAAGTGCTTTTTCGAACATCTAACGATCCAGCCCAATCACTATCTGTATAACCAACCAGACTGTTGTCTTTCTATGTAGTGTACTTGAGACTAAAGCACTTAGTTCCTTGAACCTATCTTAATATTCTCTTGGCTGTTAGAAAATGCAACTTTCTTGGTTTGCTCATGAATCTGGAGACAATACTGACTGCGTGAACGATATCTGGTCTTGTGTTGGTGAGATAGATGAGTGAGCCAACAAGACTTCTATAAGAATATGCATCTGCTTCTTGTGCTCCATCATTTTGTGACAATTTTTCATTTGAAGCCATGGGAGTAGCCACCGGTTTGTATTTCGTCATACCAAACTTTTTCAAGAGGTCTTCTATAAATTTTTCTTGGGAAATAATAATTTCTCTATTTGATTGTTTTACTTGAATCCCAATAAAATATCTCATAAGGCACAAATATATCATTTCAAATTCCTTCATCATACTTTTCTTAAATTTCTCCATCATCTTTTGGTTAGTACCAGTATAAATAAAATCATCAACATAATAACAGACTATTAGAAAATCATGTGTACATTTGTTTTTTTACGTAGAGTGACAGTTCACTGGGACTTCTCTCAAATCCTTCTTGGTAAAAGTACCTGTCAATTCTACTTTTCCATGCTTGTGGTGCTTGCTTCAATCCATATAAGGGTTTTTTAAGTCGATATACTTTATTTTCTTTTCTTTTTTTCACATATCCTTGAGGTTGTTCAACATATACTTCTACAAGTTCTCCATTTAAAAATGTTGATTTTACATCCTACTGAGATACTAACAACCTCATTTGTGCAGCCAATGCCAAGACAGTTCTAATAGTTTTTATTCGTGCAACTGGGGCAAAAGATTCAGTATAATCAATACCTTGCTATTGAGCATAGCATTTTGCAACATGTCGGGCCTTATGTTTTTTAATTGAGTCATCTTCATTATATTCTGTCTTGTAGACCCATTTTAGCCTTATGACTTCTTTATTTTCGGGTCGGTCCATTAACTCCCATGTTTTATTTTTTTCTATTATTGCTATTTTTTCATCCATGGTTTTTCTCCATTCTTCTTTTCTTATGGCATTTTCAAGTTTTTCTGGCGCACTAGCAAAAAGAGCAATATCACATGATTCATAAATTTCTATTAGTGCACATACCTTTCTTGGTGTGTCTCTAAGTCTGATGAGTCTTGACTTGGTGCGCCTGGAGATGCTGTTTTTGGGCTTGATTGAGAGCTTGCATTTTCTTGTGGAGTATTTCTTTCTTTTAATATTGCTATTGGTTCTTGGCCAGATTTTTTGTCCAATTTCCATTCACTTTCTCGTCAAATACAACATCTATAGAAATTACCAATTTATTAATTTTTGGATTGAAAATGTGATAAGCTTTTGAAACTTCACTATATCTAATTTTTCACCTTTTTTATCAAATTTTTCTATATTTTGGGAAGTTCTTTTTCCATAAGCAATACAGCCAAATACCTTGAAATAACTTACATTTGGTTTTCTTTTATACCAAGCCTCAAAAGGTGTTTTATTTTGAAGAGATTTAGTAGGAGACCTATTAAGAATATAGACAACAGTATAAACCGCTTCAGCCCAAAATTATTGGGAAGATGTTTACCCTTTAACATACTTCGGACCATTTCAACAATTGTCCTATTTCTTCTCTCTACTACTTCGTTTTGTTGTGGAGTATATGCTGCTATCAACTATCTTCTAATTCCATTCTTTTTGTAAAAATTCCAAAATTATGTTGATGTGAATTCTCCTCCTCTAGCTGTCCTCAAGGCTTTTAATGGAAAATCACTTTGTTTTTCTACATCAGTGTTAAATTGGGTAAAGATTGAGAATGCTTCTGATTTTTGGGCCAAGAAATATGCCCACATCATCCTGGTGTAATCATCAACAATTAAGAGAAAATACTTTTTTTTTATTAAAGGTTTATGTTTGAGTTGGTCCACAGATATTTGCATAAACCAATTCCAATAGAGCTCTAGCTCTCAAAAATGATTTTGAAAATGGTAATCTGTGTAATTTTCTATAAATACAACCTTCAAATATTTTTTTTTCTTCATTTATTGGTGGCAATCTGATTACCATACTTTTTTGGCCCATCAGTCTCAGATTTTGAAATTTAAAGTGCCCAAATCTTAGATGCGATAGGTAGGATTTATCGATATTTTCATAACTTAGGGGACAATTTTCACATGTTAGCATGACCATAGGAAATACCTTATTTGGGGTCTTTTTTACTTTGGCTATGGTCTGACTAATTTTCTTATCAAAGGTTATACATTTATCTCTATTGAAATTGATTGAATACCCATTTTTCATCAATTTTCCAACACTTCAAAGATTTTGTGTCAAGCTAAGAACATAAAGAACATCATGAATAAATTTAGGGCAATCTCCTTTAGGTTTTACAACAATTATTCATTTCCTTCAACATTTTTTATTTTTCCATCTCTTAGCATGACTTGTGAAGTGACTTTTTCTTTTATTTCGGCAAAACTGCTCTTATTTCCTGTCTTTTAATTCTATATCCACTATCCAGGTACCAAACATCTTGTGAATTTTGTTGGGCATTCATGCATGAATAGAACATATGATCTGTATTATTATCTTAAAAAAAATTTACTTTATTTTTCTGAATTTGATTTTTCTTTTGAAACCAGCAGTCCCTATGAGAGTGAATTGGGATTCTGCATTTTTGACATTTATATTGGCAATTCCTTGATTCATGCCCTGATTTTTTACAAATAATACAATATTGTTCAAATCTATTTTTCTGATCTGAATTTCTTTGGCAGTTCATATTTCTTCATCTTCCTCTTTCTTGATCTCTTGAAACAATTTGTCTTTCTTGAACTCTTTGATAATTTTGAAATGTCCTCCTATCTCTTTTTTCTTCAAAATTTTTCTTTTCAGAAATTGTAACTTTTAACTAAAAAGCTTGTTCCATATTCTGATTTGAAAATCTATTTATTTTTTGTTCATGTGGTTCCAAAGACCCACTTAATTCTTGTAAAGATAGTTTAGATAAATCTTTTGATTCTTCTATAGCAGCTACAACATGCTCAAATTTTGCTAGTAGACTTCTTAAAAAATTTTGAGCTAACTTTTATCAAAAATATCTTCTCCACAACATCTGATCTGATTTATTATTCCTGTAACTCTACTGAAGAAATTATGAATTGTTTCATCATCTTTCAACATCAAATTATCAAAATCTCTACATAAATTTTGGAGTTTCATAGAAATTATATTTTCAGAAACTTGAAATTCATATTTCAAAATTTCTCATGCTTCTTTTGATTTTGAAGCTATTTTTATTCGAGGAAAGATAGCTTTACTTACCGCTTGTTGGATGAAGAGTAGGGCTTTTGCATCTCTCCTCTTATTTTCCTAGTACTCGCTCTGCTTTGCCTATGACCATGATCCAATGCTGCTACGTTTTCCAGCACCGAGTAGCCTTCTTCCACAATATCCCACAAACCTTGTGAGATAAACAGAGTCTTCATTTTGAGACTCCATGACTCATAGTCTTCTCCATCTAAAATAGGAATATTAGGCTTTGGGTAAAATTCATACCCAAAGTGGAGGCCATAGGGAATGGGTTTTTTTTTAGACAACACAAGGGTATGGCTCTGATACCAAATGTTGGGAAGTTGCGGAAGCGTTGGTATAGTAATTTGATTGAAAATAA